GGGAGGGGGGAAGGGGGGAAGGGATAGCTACCTCGATCAGTGTCAGCCCACTATGGAGCACCTTCTTGCAACATAATTATATTGATGGAGTTCCAATCAATGTCACAACATTTTGATTCATTGCATTTCGTCCTTTTGCTGCTGATCTGATCAACTCTTGACAACACAAAGTGTTTTACTCAAACCTCTCACGAAGAGACGTGTTCCGACTGATTGTGTTTCACAACAACTCTGGAAACACCAACCTGCATGAGAGCACAGCCCTGTCCGGCAACCTTCACGGGCATATCCTTCATTGGCAGAATATCTGAAGGGACCTGAAGGAAAGAATTACTGATCACTATAACCTAGCATCATAGGCGTGCAAGGCGTCCAAACTGCGATGTCACTTCATTTGTTTCCTTTGACAGTGATAAGAGGGACAAAAAAACTTACCTGGGCTGTCTGTTGCACCAGTCTGTTGTTCTGTGTGATGCTGAACGTGTGGCTGAACTGGCTATTTCCTTCTCCAAACTGAACTGTAAGGTCTGTGGTGTTGGAATACACTTCCTTTGCATACTTGCTCAGGGCTTGTAAGGCTACGCATGTGTCCTAAACAGTACGAAAGGCTTACTTCACTTCTTTCATACATTTTCCCACATTTTCAGTTGTTATGGAAGAATGACAGCATGCAAGGCTTTCCGCGATCTGAACAAAATTTTGGCCAATGCAAAACGAGCTGTGCACGGTGTCTATGAGCTTATTTTCAATTCACTTAACCTTTTGTACTGAAGTGTTTTCTACAACTAATTAGCCTGCAGTACAGGCGGATTAGCGGGGTCTAGTGCGATACACGAGCGCGCGCGAAGAGCGAGGCGAGAGAAATTTAGAAAACAAATAAAGAAAAAGGCGCTGTTGCGCCAGTGCTCTTGCAATGCGCAGATTACGTTGACATGTGAACTTACAAAGTGAGCGGCGCAACTGAAAGTCTTACCGCATTTTGAAGCGTTCTGTGAATTACCAGTGGACAGAAACAAGGCATCCAACTTAGCTAAATAATGATATAAAACAACATGAAAAATAACACGTTGCATACCTGTGTTGAGGAAAATCCCCCCAGAGCATTTCTCTGTTTAGTAAGCCACCTGACAATCGGCATCGCCTCGCCAATCAGCGACACATCGTCTTGTGCCAGTAGGACGTACGTCATCAGAGCGTATGCAGTCATTTCAATGTCAGCAGCTGGTGCACGGTAGTATGGATTCCACCAGGTATATTCGCTAGGTGTGGGTTTCGTCTCCTTCTCCTTCTCCCAATGCACTAATCCATCTGGTTCACGAAAATATAAAAAACAAGGAGAGTTTTTTCACTGGTTATAGTGCAACCCTGTTATGTTCTACCACTATCGTAGTAACTGGAATAGAGTACATGTAGGGTCAGTACAAATCAATCCAAATGGTTGTCACTGGTCGCGTTAATAATAATGGTAACAGGACTGAGAGGAGTCCAAACAAAATCGGACGACCGCGTAGCGAGAATCCAATTTGTTTCATGGCCAGAGCGATTAATAATGGTAATAAGACTGAGTGGAGTCCAATTCGGTCTGTAATCATACGAGTGATTGACAAAATCGGACGACCGCGAAGCGGGAGTCCGATTTGTTAATCAGGAGTATGATTACAGACTGAATTGGACGACACGATGTCTTGTTACCAATTAATCAAAACTATGACAAAATTCGAGAAACGAACAAACCATCGATTGAGCTCTGAACGATTAAACGTCGTTATGAATGCTGAAAAACACAGCAGTTTACTCAACAAAGTGCACCGCAACAGCTCCCGCAAAATGACGCCTACTGTCCAATTACAAGCATGACGCGTACACTGTCCAATTAATGCTCAAATCGGGCTGCTGATAGCCAATCGCGTTCGGGAATTTTGTTATAGTTTTGATTACAGGCAGAATTGGACGACATGAAGCCATGTTACTAATAGGCCATTTCCGAATTACCTTTAGCCTCTTTCTCAAAGCTAATCTTGATGCCCATCCTTTCATATGAAAGTAAGATTTCAATCACATGCAAATTACATACATATACACATCTTAATAACAAGTGCGTAAAGTCTAATAATAGAATGCAAATTATTGGATCCCCGCGAGAGTCAGACAACGTAGGCGTGTTCTGCGAGAAATAAGTGGAAAATGAACGCCAAATTTTCGTTTTAAAAAATTCTTTTAGGAACACTTACTTACGCGCTTGAAAAAGCGTCAAATCTTCCTTAACTCCGTTTTGTTTGTCTCAGTTTGTCCGAGTTATGACGTCACTCGCGCGCTTCGCTATTGGCCTCTCCCCTAAAGGGGTTTTTCAGGGCCAATGGAAACAAATGATGAAACAAATAATGCAAATGAACATAACATGGTTAAAAATCCCAATTGGCAGGAGGCAGACCAGTTGGCTATTTACAAACGTGGCCGAGGAGTTAGGCTAGGGTCTACCGAGAAACAACTTAAGCTTAGTGGTCAGAACGGGACTTGTGAACCCGCATTTTCATAGGATTGGTTGTGCACCAGGCTTCACTTTGATAGAGACGCTCAAGGAAACTCGGAAATGGGCTTTTAATCAAAAGTGAAACAAAATTCAGGAATCTAGCAGCTCTCACAAATGGAAATAAACCTTTGAGTACCACCTAAGTTCCGGCTGAAGATATCTACAGACCTTCTTTGATGGCTTTGCCTTGAAGTGCTTTGAATAAATCCGAGGACTGTTGATCACCAGCTAACGTGAAAGTGTAACTAAACAGTGTTAAGCTGTATGAGTCAGTCAGCTTTGAAGATGCAGTCCTTAAGCAGTTCAACGCATTTTGGATCACCTTGTCCTGAAAAAGAAAATATCAAGAAAATCGTGACAACGCTTGAAGTTATATGGATAATGCGGATGTTCTATATTGATATGTATCAGTTCAATAGTATTTAATGTGTTAGGTTAATTCTTGTTACGAAGTTCAACATACTGTAAGCCCATATTTCGTTACGTTGTTGTTTGTCGTGCTCCTTATGACAATTCACCACATAAAACCAACAGATACCATAAATGAAAAGACGCGAGTTTGAATTGTTCACTGTGGTAAGATAATGAAGACTATTTATGGTTTGCCTCATGAGACGAAGTCTAACAGAGAAAAAAACTACATCAGGAGACGAACGATTATGCGCTTGATCAGTTCTAAAAATAGCTTGGAGTATATTATGATTAACATTGCTCCAAGTTCGACAGAAGAAGGATAATATTCACAAGTCTTACTTAAGGCTTGTAAATATATAATGTCCTCACAAATAACCAAACCAATTAATTCTATCACACCTGAGGTGACATTCCAGATTCCATGAGAGACACTGCAACAAATGCTGTAAGAGTGGCTTCGGTTGATACACCACCCTAATAAAGGAACAGTTTTTCAGTACCGGTCTACCTTTTCATTACTTAAGGAATACATTTTCTACACAAAAGGGTTTAAATGATCCAAAACAAACGATGCAACGGTCTGCATCACTGTTTATCTTTACTTAGCAAAGGTCCCTGCACAATACCTAACAACAGACGTGAGCTGTACATGCTCAATAATGTATGTCTATTGACCAGACATTTGTACGGAGGGAGCGGGGGGAAGGAAGAGGAGCCTTTGCTTACTAACCTTCATGCGCTTGTTAAAAAGTTTTCCATACTTGGGAATGCAGCCATTTGGAAGTTGTTTTTTGGTTATCCAATTTTGTATCGTCTTTAGTTCCCCTGGATCAACGAAGATAAAAGGACGTGCTTGAGCAAATGAGCGTAGCACGAACGCTGTTAACCTACAAGGAGAACAAGAACACAAATTATGACCGTAATATCAAGAAATCAAGCCTTTAATTTGTCAATTAGACATTGGTGTGTTTAAGAATAACGGCAAACGGCAGTAATTGTCTCTGATCTTTATATCAATCCAGTTTAATAACTGCTTGTAATCCTTACATTAATCCAACAAAGCAATAGGAAAAGAGTCAATCTATTAATAGCAAATATCAATTAATTGTGTACAAATATTTCTGCCATTTGCCGTAAATGTCGTTCTTAACCTCTCTGTTAGCTTTCCCGTTCCCCTCTACTTTTTTGCAGCCTGCACAAAAAAACACCTTAACCCTTTCACGACCAAATGTTCACCAAGAAAATGCCGTTTTTAACCGTTAAATCAGTTTTTTGGCTGCCACGACGCTAAATGAGCCTTAGGTTTGCTGAAAAAGCTACTTTTTTTTACCAAACAGATAGATTTCCCCAAGATTAGGTTCAAAACTGTAGAATATTTTAATTTGGTGCATGCGCATAAGCCAAAATTTGGACTTCTTTTTTTTTTTTGCGATTGTTCCGAATTTTTTTCTTGCCCCTTTCCTTTCTTTTTTCTCGGTCCTGTTACTCCCGTTACCTTTTGCGGTTCATATTCTTTCAAGCTGCCGTAAAAAGTTGGGTGTTAATTATGAGCAAAGCCTGGAAATGGGACCTTGATCAATTATACGTATATTAAATGGGCCATTTTACCACCATTTTTGGCACCAAAACTGATAACGTTGTTTTGCAATTTGCTACGTCAGAATGCCGTCGATATCCAAAACCGACTGTTGAACGGATAGATCTAGTAGCCGTATACGGCTCCTTGGGCGTCAAAGGGTTAAGTAACAAAGAAAGGACTTGCGAGGGAACAGGACAATGACAAGGAAATGAAGGCAACTGCTTGGCAAGGAAGACGAACTCTGGCATACCAAGGGAAAGTGTTCCAAGAAAATGTCTTTCAGAGTGTATGCCACAGAAAATGTATCTTTACCATTATTTTATTTTATTTTATTTTTACACGTGGGATATTCCATGGTATACTAAGAGAAAGCGTTGCATATCTATTTTATACCACGTCAAGTACAGTGGCCAACACAATCAATGCGACATACGCGCGGCGCACGATGGGAAGGTTCGGTGTAATACCGTCGAATATACAACGGCTTTCCTGTATTCTGATTGGCTGTATTTTCTATGGCATGGTATAATAAACAATAAGATTATGAGCTCGAGATTTCTATCGCGTGATAGTTGTGCGCCCTCGTCAACTGTCGCGCGATAGAAATCGAGAGCGAATAATCTAATTGTTTTAGTATAAATCAAAACTTTATCTAAATCCTCTTCACAGACACTCCGCAAACGCCAAGAAACGGCCTTCATTTCGTTAACAAGCACACACTGCTACGCTGCTTACTATCTATCACAGAATAGATAGTGAGTAGCGTAGCCAATCAGAGAACGGGATTCGTGACAGGATGCTAGTAGATTTATACTAAAAGCAGGTATTGAATATTGCCGAGCACCAAAATAACATGTTAAAAGAAACCACTCACCACATGTTTCCTTCACTATCTCTGTTTCCAAAAGCGCTGTAGGATCCGTCAGTTCGTTTGTAGGTTAACTCTCTTTGGTATCCTAATACATACAAAACAAGCATGTTACATTGCTAAGTGTTCCACGTCAAACTTGGAAGATTACAAATACAGCCAGTTCTTACTCTCCACAATGGTTCTAGCTTACCTGTTGACATGATGTTTTCGGCTTTGTTTTTCACAGATGTGGTTAGTTGCCCAACAGCTGACAAGTACTGCGTGATGTAAATACCAGGAGCAAAGTTCACCATGTTTTGCTCACCACAGCCATAAGGAAGCCTCAACAGGCTTCCAACATTCAAGGTTGGTCCCATTAGATCCCCTGAACAACAACAACAAAATGATGAGTAAGAAGGCCATTTCCGAGTTGGCTTTTGCCTCTTTTTCAAAACGAGTCTTCGTGTGGAACCATTCCTATGAAACTGTGTTCCGCCTACACGTTCATTTTCAAGCAAATCAAACTCATTTTCATGTGGAAGGTTTTGCACGAGGTCTCGTTCTGAAACAGAGGCACAAGGTAACTCGGAAATGGTCTATTCTAGGAAAACAGACTACAAGATTTACATTGTACACTCATAAAAGACAAAAGGAGGAAAGGAGTGGAGCAAGTAAGAAGAGAGTTTCAAGGTTTTTAAGTTGAATTTAGACAAACAAAAAAAAAACCAACAACAACAAGCAAACACAATGCACAACTTACCAACAGTTGACACCACTGCATGAACAGAGCCAGCAACAACGTTCTTAGGCAAAGAGATGTCCATGGTGTCATTAAACTGTGATTCGTCATCTTTGAAAAGCAACAACAGCCGAGTGTAAAGAATAACTCATTACCTGTCTATGGTTGAAACGATTTCCCTTGAAGTCACATTATTTGCTCTTTACAGGCTACACATAAGGTTGACGGTTTTTTGAACATATGGCTCGCATGAAAGAAGTTTGCAATCTAAAAGGTATTTATCAATGTTACAATGTGGTCTGAAACGGTAAACGTCGAATCTCATATTACCTCATCCAGAGGCAAATAAAATTTCTTGTATTTTCTTAACACATTTCTTACTGACTTCCTCTCAACAAGTAAGCTTCCCTATGAGCTGAAATCAATCTCTATCACTTTGCAACTGGCTGTCACTTTGTGTTCAAATCCTGGCTCTCAAGTGTAATATTTATCTTCAGAATAGAGGAAAGTGGTGAAACAAAAAATACCAGAATAATAATCATAACTTGAAATGGACTGACACCAGGAATTCTAAAACTGCTTGCTTAGAAATGAAATTTTGCAAAGATTATACATAAGGTGAAATAAACTTTTCAAAGCTTTATGCTCTTCAGAGCTAGATCCTAAGTGCTGCAAAATGATAGTAATGTTTTGTACCTTTTAGGCATACAAAGGTGTTGTATGTATACTCCTGTCGAACTCCTTCAGGCTTTTAAAGACAGAAATATTGCAAAAGTTAGCATTTTCTATTTTACGACTCAGTTCTAATTTACATTTTACGCTGGCCTGTGTAGTAAGTGTTCCCAGCTACATTTTGGGGTGCACAAAAATAGAAGCGAGTGCAAACGGGAACACCCACAAATACTACGCTGGCTAACTTTGCTCTCCTGTGAGATGATTTTCCTCGCTACGGGTATCAGTGACGGTTAAAAAGTTTATTGCTAGATAGAAATGTTGCTTTAAGTACCACTGGTACACGGGGGGTACTCCCAGAAAAGTTGCGTGGGGGTGTGCGGCCCACTTCCTAAAAACCCTTACCCTATTTATGACCAAAATCTGCGATTTTTGCTGCCCTATTTATGACTTGGCCAAAACTTCCGATACCCTGTTTATGACCGTTGCGGCTGACATAGTTGCCCTAAACATAAGTTATGAAGGTCTTTTGTTGACGGTCTCATTGATAATGATGAAAAAGAAGCTTCTTCCAAGAAAAATACCCAATTCAAGACTAGAGCGCTAAAACCATACCCTATTTAAGGCCAAAATGGCCAAAATCGATACCCTGTTTATGACCACAACGGCTGTAAAACCCTACCCTTTGGGGCCGCACATACCTATACAGCCCATATAAGGGAGTACCTCCCTCCCCCGGCACTGGTAACAGGCCACTTTTCAGCTCCTTCTTTCGGCACAGGAAACAAATGACAACATATTGCTTACCTGTCGATGGTATTTGGATGCTGCATTGTTTCTTTCTTATGGTTCTACTACTTTACATCACCAACGTCTGGAAATATGAAGTACTAGCACTGTTCTCTCTAACATTAGCTCTGTACGTACCTCAACAAGTAACTTCCTCGTCACAGCATCAGTGACTCCAAGAACCATCTGTTCCACGCCTTCATCGCACACTGAGGAGTTAACATCTTTGGCAATAACTGTCAGAGGAATTTCACGCAACTTCTTGGGAACAATGTTAAAACGAACAGACATGGCTTCATTGCTGCACACGCAAACTGACTGAGAAGAGTTTGAAAGTATTCTGTAGTATAGTGATTCTTGCAGGTCCAAGCGAATCTGTAAGATTAACATTTGCCATTGCTTAGTTCAACTATCATTTTCTACTACATTCACATCCCACGTTTCTGTTTTAAACCAAAACGTGGTAACTAACCAAACATATATTCCATTTCATGACTTTGGAGCAAAATGACGTCACATGAACAAGATTACTCAAGTTCCGACTTGAAGCTAATTCAAACAGCCAAGAACATTTATCAATTCATATCCGCATCTTGTTTTAAATGACATTATGGAAAAAAGAATTCACAATAATCCCAGGCACAACATATTGAAATTGAAATTCTCCAAAGGGGAATTTGTCCAATACTCAAAACTGGTTTGTTCAAATCATGAAGGCTAAAATTGATGTGCTTGTATGACTTGAACCGCACGAGTTGCAAAAACAGGCTTATCATGTGTACGATTGGTGTGAAACGTTTCAGTGAAATGGACTGAAGACGTTGTATCTCATAGTAGACACTTGGCCTGATTTGGAAGCAGGCCGGTCAACTTGTACCACCTGCATGAGTTGTGCAACTGGTGAAGCTGCATCTTATTATGTTTTCTTAACTGGAAATCAGGTAAATAATTGATTGCCAAAAACGAATTCAGAAATCTAAGACTTACTGTAAGACACTTTTTCTCGTAGTTGAAGACAGTGGTTATAATGGACACTTCCTCGCCACGGATCACCGAGTAAGGGAGCGTAAGGGAGACAAAAAATGGTTGGAACACTTTGAGTGAAGTAGGTTTTGAGACACCAAGCCCAGATGCCTCAGACATAGCAAAAGCACTTGCAATCCAGCTGGTGATAGTGTCGGGAACCTTAGCCATAATCGTTGTCTTGCCTGTGTCTTCGCTGTTAACAAAATACAAAAATACAATAAATATTAACGTTAAAAGCCGACGTTTCGGCGTCATTGTGACACCATTCTCACGGCAAAGTGAATAAATAATGCGAAGATTTAATTTCTATACAGTCTCTACAAATAAGCATAATAACAAAGGATCACAAGTTCTTCAAGTGAATACCTTTGCGCAAATCAAGTCTGTTTGCAGGTTTAGGGATGGTTTGAGTTTTGTTATAATAATTAATTAGATATAACAATTGATTAGATAGTTGTCCAAGATCTGATTTTACTTAGTACTGTACAGGAAGCCACATAAAAACGGAACTCTTTCCTAAGAACTGAGAAAAGTGGCATACTTTTAGCTCAATTCTTGTTTTTAAAATAATTGCCAGAGAACTCCCATGTGTCCTAGAAGCATTCTGATAAAATAACGCCCTTGTTTATCATATTTTGAAGCATTCTTAGACCCACACCATCATCGATTGTCCAATTGTCTAAACAAGGTCAATTGCAATTGTTTAAGTAACTCATAATGGTTCAGGGTTTCATAGATTCAATTCAGTGGTACATGCCTAGTCATGAGACCTCACTCCCCTCATAGTAAAGTAACTGTAAAGTAGGACTTTATTTAGCCAGGGTGGTCTATTGAGCATCATGGCTGGTATACAGAGGGGCCCTGGTGACATACAAGTCATCTCAGTACTTCTTTACGAAAAAAACCCTTATCTTATACCTTTATACTTGTAACTGGCCGTGTTTCAAAACTGAATTCTGCGGCTTTATTATGTAAAAGAAACTGAGGGACATTTCAATCACCAACTTTTAATGGCTGGTCTTCAAAAGCAAACCATCATGAGCCACCTTCAAACAACATTTTTAAAGATAATTCTAACCAATCAATTGACAGTACAGTTTTAAAGTATCATATCCCAAAGCATTTGTGTTGATGCAAAATATATAATGTAATCAGTGGTATAGTAAAGCAACCTAAAAAATAATACAGATGACCATCAATCAATGAGTATTAATGTACCAAAACTGTCCACAACCACGTCTCAAACAAATACCTAAAAACCTTATTCTTGAATTCTTATAATATTTAATTCCATTATTCTACCCACATTGGTTTTATATGTGCCTTTCAAGATGTGTAAAAATGCATCTATTAGCAGTATTTCACAATAGTATTAAAACTAGAAAATAAATTGTGTAAAGTTAGCTAATTAAAAAATATTGAAAGTGGTGCATTTATATTTTGTACGGATAAGCTAATGAAAAAAAAATCCTATTACAATAGGCCATTTTCGATATATTAAAATTCTAACATAGCTCTGAGGCTTGGGGGAATAATACAAAAGAAATGAATTATTCATCACTTAACCTCAATGTGATTTCTTTTGTTTTATTCCCTCAAGCCTCGGAGCTAAGCTGGAATTTTAAAATATCGAAAATGGTCTATTAGTGTTTAACTTGAGTATTGTTAAGTATTAATTGTAACTATGGGTAGCACTCACACATCTGCAAGTAATGTTAGCCTTGATAGTATCGTAATTACTGTACGTGTTGCGGGAAGTGGATAGGTAGAACAGCTACATACAGCAAAAACTTCAAAGGGTTTGCTTGATTGAAATTCCACACCTTTCTGATACAATATTCCTCGCTATAATCACGTGCTGACCATGTTGATACAATACCAAACTGATCATGACAAAACAACATAACATGTCCTACTGTGCACGATCAGTGACAGGTGTAGCATTTGCGTTGATGTTCCAAATTAAGAGAGTGTTAAGCTGAGATTCCAAACTGTGTTTGGAACATCAATACCTGTGACACGAAAGGTAACCTTTGTACTTCACCAGTTAAACAAATATGTTTTAAATGGATACACCTGTTCAAATGAAAACATTTAACAGGACAATAATGTTATTTCCTGGCCAATGCCTAATGGCTTACTTGACCATTTCCTCTGTCCATAGCCATGCCTCAGGAAACTCCTTACGAACATACACAGACTTTTTCTTAGATTGCTGGCTTTTAGCCTTTTGATTAATGCTGTGTGACCAATGGGAAGAAGAGCTGCAGGGCCAGGGGCTCCCATTGCAGCTACACTACCAACTGACCCTAAAAATATGAAAGAATGTCACATGTAGGAAACTTTGTGTCAGTTTTCCCCGCATTCTGGCCATCTCAGTAATTTTTCCTAAGCGTTTTGCTGTAATTTTTCTTTAATATTGGTTGTGCTTGTGCCCCTATCGATTTTCTCGACTCTCTGAATATTATCTACTCTACAATGTATGGATAGTGTAAAGAAAATATTACTTTACATATACAGTTACTGACAGTTAGAAGAGAAGCTCAGAAATTAGACATTCCTAGACGTTCCAAGGCAATGACCAGCTGTGTCGGACTGCCAGACAAGATATCAGAAGCTTATCAGCTTGTTCAAGGTAATAAGCTTCTCAAGATATCCAAATTCTTTTTATAGGGACAGGCTGAGTTCTCGCATGCCCATTGGTCAAGAGCTATGGTCAAAGAGAGTATAAGCACAATGCAAGGGTATTTTCAGAAAACGTAGTAACAAATTTATCTTGCTTTTCAAATACTTGGAAATTGAAGAGGGGCGGGGGGGGGAGAATGCTGCTGGCAGAGTAAAACATAGCAAAGTCTAAATTGACTGATCATGAAGGTATGGCACGGTAGAACCTGCTACTCTAAAGGAGGTAAGAATGTACATGTATACACACCAAGGAAAACATGTTAAACTCAATCTTGAATCGAGAACACAGTGTTTATCGAATTTGTTCCAATGTTTAAATAACGTCTGTACCATCTCGAACACATCATGAAAATTAAACAAATGACACATTTATTAATTCACAATGAGATCTTTGAGGTTGATTGTTGATTTTTACAAGCCTCGAGTCTCCAGCATACAACAATGTGTATGTGGTTAGTTGGAGGAAACAAGCATTTCGTTAGCCTTTGAATCATTTCATGAGCACACTACCCTTGGACAAACCACCTCCATCTCTCTCAAGATAACGATCTTCTACCCTTTCAGGTTCAATCATTGATACCGGCCCTTCTTTGAGGTAACTTATTGTAGGAAAATCTTCCCAATAGATCTTGGGAGGGTTAATTGCGAAAACTAAACCATTTTATGATGCCTTAAAGAATCACGTGTCAGTAACCAGTCCCATGAACATCACATATTTAATTAAAGATAAAAAGCGGTTTGTGAGGAAGCTAAGTTCAAGCGAATTTGCATAAAAGAGTGCCAAGCTAATTACATGAATACTTTAGCACGAAGAGAGTCAGACTGCACATTCAGTGCAGGTTTAAGATCTTGAATACACAGCATTTCATTAACAAGGCAGTCAAATTTGTTCGTGCATTTCTTGATTACATTGAAGAGTGCTAAGAAATTGGTCAGAACAGCAGTGTTATGTTCTTTGGAATAATACTTGTAAACAGATGACGCCTTTTGACGGTGTCCCTCAACGCGCGTGTGAAGGTGGCCCTTTGTGTACCCGACGTAACCTGCATCACACAGGTCACACTTGAATAAATAAACAACGCATTGCTGGGTCACGATGTTAGGCTTGGGCTCACGCAGGCTTAGATCTTGTTTAAGCTTGCGGCTAGTAAACACGGGTTGAATGGTTTTTTGCACCTTGCTGCTAAGATCTCTAAGTTGTCGTTTGACAGACACTACAGCATCCTGATCTTTATAGGGGATAACTATCCGGATGGCGTCATCGGTATGCTGTTTGGGCTGGTCCACTGCGACTCTCGAGGTGATAAACCTGTTGATGAACGCTTGGGAGGAGTCTTCCGTAAGCTGAGGTATCCGAATCACCTTATTGATTCCGTCATCAACTAATTTGACTGCCTCGTTAATGAAATGCTGTGTATTCAATATCTTAAACCAGCACTGAATGTGCAGTCTGACTCTCTTCGTGCTAAAGTATTCATGTAATTAGCTTGGTACTCTTCTACACAAATTCGCTTGAACTTAGCCTCTTCACAAACCGCTTTTTATCTTTAATTATGTAACCTTGATAATTACGCAAGATGCACCGAAACGTCGGTTTTTTTCACTTATATTTCTTGTCTCATGTATTTCCAAATTGTTTCTTAAAAGACTTTTGAAAATTCGTTTCAACTTAGCCTCTTCACAAACCACCTTTTATCTTTAATTATGTAACCTTGATAATTACGCAAGATGCACCGAAACATCGGTTTCTATCACTTATATTTCTTGTCTCATGTATTTCCAAATCGTTTCTTATAAGACTTTTGAAAATTCGTTTCAACTTAGCCTCTTCACAAACCGCTTTTTATCTTTAATTATGTAACCTTGATAATTGCACAAGATGCACCGAAATGTCGGTTTCTATCACTTATATTTCCTGTCTCGTGATAAACTGTTTGTTTCTTTTTTCATTGTTGTACATGTATCTGTGCTCACAAGCTCCACAATACTGAACTCCGTTCCTTTTGCAAAACAAAACAAACACCACTCCCCCAATTGGACAGGCACTGCTGGTTAATATACAGCTGTTTGAAGAGGCAATTACTGTATATAACTGATAGGCCACATAGAAAAGGCTTCCAGACAAGGCTGCTTGCTTAAGTGAAACTCAACAGTTACTTCTCAGAGCTATTACAATTCAGCATGTTGATCACTTTTTATTGAAGTCACAAGGTAAGAACCACCACTGTGCCCAGATAAATGCCTGAAGTCGTTAATGATGATGTTGCAAATTATAAGATGCAAGTTGAATTTGCATTGTAATATAATCTATAACAATATGATGCCATGAAGATTCTAACATTACCATTGTAGTTTGTATAGTGCGATGATCAGGTGAGGGTAATTCTGAAAAGAAGTGTTATTGGTGACCAACAACGGTGCTTTTCAGAACTACCCTCACCCGGACGATCACACTAGGTTCAAACCTTCACCTATTTTACTATTCTAGTGAAGTACATCGACGTTTAAGCTCAATTAGTTAAACAAGTTGTCAGTGGAGACAGAATCATCACCATGACTACAGATGTATTACACCATGGCCCAAAGAATTAAGTCTTACTTGACCATTTCCTCTGTCCATAGCCACGTCTCAGGAAACTCCTTACGGACATACACAGACTTTTTCTTAGGTTGCTGACTTTTAGTCTTCCTCCTAAAGGCTCTTTTTGGAGTTTTAGGGGCAGACAGCCGGATAGCAAGAGGCCCTGGACCAACAATGCCACTCGCAGAAGTCCGCCGCCATGCTAAAGTGACTGGCACAAGGAGAAATCACAGGATAATAACTGAAGTGAACTATAAAAGGTACTCAGTAATTAGAGGTTACTCAAAAGACAAGACTTAGCTTATTGTTAGTTTGTCGGAAGAATGTCCATACACACAGCTAGTCTGTCACTTCAATGAATATATGTATATAATGGTAATTAATATTAATGGAAGAAGAGTGCCTGGTTAATCGAGAAGGCCTCTATGTATAGCAGTAGGAAGTCCCTGGATTGAGTATGTCCTTATGTGGCAAGTTGCCACCACCAACCAGGTAGGAGCCTCAATGCCAAGGAACAACGAGCAAGTCACATCATGTTGAAGAGTAATGAGAAATGGGAAAATTGAAAGGAAGAAGGGAGAGCTGTAGGCAATACAAAAAGCTACCCAGCTTGGCTGAAGATTCCACATGATGGAAGATTACTTGCTGTTCTTGGGCAGTGGCTATATCATGTACACAAATCTATCAGCGTACGTGCGGGGGGTGTGGTGACCTAATGGTTAGCAGGCTGGACTCCAGATCGAGTGGTCCTGGATTCAGCCTTGGCCGGTTCACTGGGTTGTGCTCTTGGACAAGACATGTTACTCTCACAGTGCTTCTCTCCAATCTGGTATGTAAATGAGTACTGCTACATGTAACGCCAGGGGGAAATGCTGCGATGGACTGGCATTCAATCCAGGAGGGAGTAGAAATACTCCTAGTCAATCATGCAACAGAAACCGGGATAAGCTCTGGCCTTGAGGTGCCACTGGCTTGATGCAGACTTAATTATGCATGTAAGTACATGTACACCATAAATTAACTGCATTCAACTGCAATACATCTCCAAACATCCACAAGTCTTCTGTGTTATAGATCCCGAGACTATGATGCACATCATGATATCACCGACTTTTCGGGTACATACGCCTATTCAGTGGAGCTGATTCGTTCCAACATGTAAACCAAATAATTGTACCACCTCAAGTAACATCTCAAATAGGCCAGGTAACCATGTACTAAGGTTTCAGGATGCAGCAGTATGAACTACTCCAGTTTAGCCTTTGCAATATTTCTTCACTGTAACAAATTAGACATGACCAAACCACTTCTATGTATGTTCCTTGAGATGATGATCATCTTCCCCCTCCTGCTTGATCTTACATTTTTCACATTATGTCTACACCAACAAGTTCCATGATAATTCTCTCTTCTTTCTGTAGAGTTTGTCTACAAAATTTCGTTTACATACAAGACAAGAATTCAGTTACCACGTCTGATAAAATACCTCCACGGTAAAGTGATGCTCTCAATTTTTTTTTTTCAGGTAAAAAAGCTCTAAGGATAATGGCAAGAAATAACTGCCAAAAAATAATGATTAAAAACCTTGTTGAAGGCGGCCCTTCTTTGAGGTCATCTATAGTAGGAGAATACTCAAAATACATCTTGGGTCTAGGTAAATTGTGAAAACTAAACCATTTTATGATGGCTTGAATATCATGATGTTTAGAATGCCAAGCCCACTTTATATGGAAGTACTGACGTGATGACATATCTAAAAGTGTTCAAGATGATTTAATTTATTACACCTTGATACTTTTTGGATTGTTCTACATGTATCTAGTCTAACAGGCTCCACAATAACCCTGTTCCTTTTGCAGAGTTTGTCAACAAAACTGCTGCATTGTTCAGGGACAAAGATTTAAGTAAAGTGGTTTAATTTCACATTTTTCTTGCCTTAATTTAGCCAGCAGTAAATATATCTAATATTGGGTGTCTCATAAATTGCCTTGTTTATGTAGTTTGGTTTGTCCACTATGAACTGATTCTTTTGTGAACATTAAAATGTAATATTTGGTTAGATTATCAAAAATAATAATACAAAAGTATTTTAAGATGAGAAAACACACTTAACATAAACTGATGCTATTGCTAGAGAAAGAATGCTGAAGAGTCAAAGTTGTTAAAGTCCTCATAACAACAACATGCAATTAATCAAAACAGTTAAAGAGACATGATCGAGGACACTGAGCAAGAACAAAGCCCCAATAATGACAAAAAGTTATTTACACCCTTCCATCAAAAGATATAGACAAAATGGATTGTCAGATTGATGAGACAAAACTAAGATTATCAATTTTACATGTAAGATGTTGTGAATTATTAACTTGCAGTTTTATAACAAATTTGAAAAACCGTTGTTAAAGATCTGTTGTATAATTTGTCATCACAAGACTAAGGCACGTGAATAAAAATTTATATGAATTCAGTTTGTTGCAGGAACATGAAATAAATAACCAAACAAATAAAGGAATAAAAACAAATAAAAAATACCACAAAAAATAAACATCTTAATTGACCACTCCCCCAACTGGGTGAGTCCTGCTGTTAAATACACAGCTGTTTGAAGAGTAAATTACTGCATAATGGTTGTGTTTCCCCTGGGACAATTTTGGCTAGATAAAGTCGGAAAAGTCCAGAGATGCAGTGAAAACAGTGCATCTTGAGTTAAGCGAGTTAAAAATGCACTCTCTTTTCACTAGAAAAAACAAGCGATTATCTCGCCTATGTGACCGGAAATTCACGCCAAGTTATACTACCTCGCGAGATGGTATAACTTGCCCCGGTAAATGCTGTAGCCAATCACATTGTGCGTAGTGACAGACGCCTGCCAAAGAATCTGGCCATAGTATTTACCACACCCTCGTATCGCGGTTCAGTTTGCGAAACAGAACTTTAAGCAGCAGACCAGTTCAACTGTCCTTCTCATTTCAGTTTATCATTCCTACGGTCCCCCTAGATTCTCCAGTTCCTCGGCCAGAACCCTACCTATGACACGGCGTCGCCTGACGTGCAGAAAAAGTTCCTGCAGTACAACATTTCGTCGCATCTTCCTCATTTCTGGGGACATTAATGGCATCCTCTGGAAAAGAAATGCCTTCTCGATCTCTGATAATGGAGTCATGACTACTCCGAAACACCGGATTTTATCGTTCGTTTTTACCGTTTAATGTTTTGAGAAATCTCTTTTAATACGAATTTTCTCAATCTCCTCTGCATAAATATAGCTAGAATCAACACAACAGAAGACATTAAAAGCGTTTCCTCTCTCAACCATATTTGAAAGTTGCACGCTTTTGTAATTTGAATCTTCTGAGTCAGCGTGTTAAATTCTGGGTTAAATTTCCAGTGAAAATAGATGTCATGTTTAACTAGCAAATGTTGGTCTGTAAGCAAACACCTAGAAATAGTGTTCAGCTAGTTTATCGGCCCAGTAAAAACGCAACCTATAACTGATAGGCCATATAGAAAAGACTTCGAAACAATGTTGCTTGAGAGGAACTCAACAGTTACTATACTTCTCAGAGCTATAGATGTGGCATGTTGATCACTTTTGATTGAGGAAACAAGATAAGAACAACCACAGCACCCAGATAAATGCCTGAAAGTCATTAATGATGATGTTGCAAATTATAAGAGGCCAGTTGAGTTTACATTGTAAAATTATCATAATATGAAACCATAAAGATTCCAGCACTACTAATCTAGTGAAGTACTTTTGAGCTCTCCAGCTACACAAGTTGTTGATGGAGACAGGTGCCATAACAACTGACAAATCTAAAATAACAAAAATTATTACATCGTATGGCCCAATGAATTTAGTCTTACTTGACCATTTCCTCTGTCCATAGCCATGTCTCAGGAAACTCCTTACGAACATACACAGACTTTCTCTTAGGTTCCTGGCTTTTAAATGTATCATCAGCAATTTGAGCTTCCGCAACTGGCTCATCACCATCAGGACCAGTAGAACCGGCCCCACCACTGAACAATACTGAAATATGATGAAAAGAGAATGCCGTTTCTGGACCACTCTGGGGCAGCCATTGATGCATTCATGGCCATCACAGCTTCAAGTTTGAGATAGAAATAACCTGTTACAGTTGCAGTCCCATAAGCTATTCTAAATCTCACCCCAATTAGGGTAAAATTGATCTTAACCTATCTGCTTGATATTTTATGATTGACACAAGGAGAAATTAGATGAAAATAATCCTGAAGTGAAGGTATTCAGTGATTAGAGATTGATTGCAAGACAAGAGTAAGTTTCTTGTTAGTCTGTCAGAAGAATAATTTGTCCATACACTCAGCTATTTGGTCACTTCAGACAAATTGCATCAGTTAACCATGCTAACATATGCATTTAAAAGAAATGATTGGAAGTTGAGAGCAGGGTTTATCAGGAAGACCTCTACTTATAGTGGAAGGAAATCCCCAGATTGAGTGTGTCCTTATCTCACAAATCTCCCACAACCAGCTATGAGCCTCTGTCAATGCCAAGAAACAATAAGCCCGTCACATCATCTTGAAGAATAATAAGAAATAAGGAAACAGATAGGAAGAGGAGTGAGCTGTAGGCCAAAATAAACCAAAGCAAAGCAGCTTGGCTCAGGATTCCATGCAATAATTGCTATTCTGTATTGTGTATGTATATTGTGTATTGCTATTCTGTATTGTGTATGTGAGTACACCATACACAAACTGCATTCAAACATCCACAGGTCTTCTGCCTTATAGATCTGAGATAATGTATTTGTGTAAATATAACAGTTATTCAATGGAGCTGTTTTGTGCCAACACATAAAAAAAAAAAGGTAACATTGCAAGCAACATCTGAAATAAGCCCATACAAAGATGATTAACAAGCTTGAGCTTTCTACAGGTTGGATGATCAATGTGCTCACTTGAAGATCCTTCTAGCACAAGTCAAAAAACAACAGGTGATGGTCCTTATGTGAAACTTCAGGTCTCGGCAGATACAATACCTGAAGATCCTCTGAAACATGTCATGCATAGGCTCATCCTTAGTCTTACAAAATAATCAATTTTGCGAATTCTTGGTTCATCACCATCATTTGTGGTGTGTAGTGTTCATTGGTTTGGTATCGTAGAGTTCATGCAAATTACTGCACATGTCTAGGTGTCTCACCATACTGATAACCTGACTTGCTGGTCCTTTTCTTGCTCAGAATGATGTCCAAATAATATAATTACCTTGACTCCATGATCACTGATGATGCATTGTTAAAACGAACTCAAGTCAAATTCAGACCAAAGAAGGGAATCCAATTGCTAAATGGAGTACATCCACTTTATCTTAACATCATTTACAGCTACGCATAAAGAATTACAAAGAAAAATAACCATACATACATTGTATGCTTTCGTATAATAGTTGCAACTGTTCAGAGAGAAACAACATTGCTAAGAAAACAGGTTCTACGATGATTGCATTTTCAATTTTGAAGTATACTTTTCAGTTTGGTGATTTGAATGTAAATATGTTGCTAATTTTCAGTGTCCATTGATAAGCAGTCAACCAAAGGGAAACAATTCTTCCATTCAAATGAACAATCCATTTGACGTGAATGATCGACCTGTGTCACAATAATGTAAATGTACAGCTTCGATTGACACTAGAAGGTTCACAATTAGGTTTTTTACCAATAGAAATATACAATTCAGTAACATTTACTGCCTAGGATAATTTAAAATTTTCTCATGCATGTTCTATAGTTAATATGGCCTTTTGTATTTGGAAAACTGTTTGTCCTGCCTTTAATTTTTTGATACAAAAAAAAAATTCCATGATGGTGAAACTAACATACAGAATAATTATACTCTATAAACCCTCCAGAAATGACAAAGAATTTCTTGAACACTGTTACAACTTTCACAGTTCCCACAAAATTAATAGAAAAGGATTTTCATCAAAGAAACTAATATTGTTATAACTATTGGCCCCCAAAACCAAATTATCGCAAGTGTACAGAAAAGTGAAACAGGCCCTTTAATTTTTGCCTGTCACCTTCTCTTAACATCCAGTGAAAGAAAAATAAACTTACTAGTCATACCCTCGAAGAGACATGGTTGTGGACATAAATACAAACATAACCTTCAGGATTTAGTTGATGGAAGCTTTATCAAATTGAATTTAATTCATAGGGGGCATTTTCTCATAATAGCCCTTTTACAAGTGAACAGTGATCTACAGTGGAACCCCGATTTCATGATCGTCGATTTAACGATGTTTTCGATTTAACAATCAACATTCTGTGCCCTGCCAAAAGTTACAGTAAATTGTATGGAGCAGAATCCTGATTGAACAATATTCCATTCAATGATATTCCCGCCATAATGATGGCAATCTAGCGACCCAAGAACAAAGTTTTTCTCGTTACAATGATATCATTCTTAGGCTAGCCATGAAGACAAGGAATCAGATGCACTGACAATGATGAAATGTGCATAATGGAACTGAAGTCTAACTCTTACACCTATGGAAGCTACTGAAGCCGTCAGGGCACTGAGAGACTTGGTGATGTCTTTTGAAGAGCCAGGGGCAAGAGAGCAAGAGTCTCTTCAATCCCCTTTCACGGTTAGAAGAAAAGAAAACCGGCAAGTCAAACTTCTTGAGTAGTTTAAATTTTGAAAATGACCTATGAACCGTGGTCAACCATGAACACTACTGTTTAGAAACATGGAACAGTATGTCGGTTGGCTGTAAATTTTAGTTCTGTACACTTTGAAGAATATGTACACAGCATTTTCAGAAGTTATATACACTGCACAAACTATGGATGGACATGATGTTAAGTTTCAGTTGTTGCATTTGTGATTGATGTGCCCATTGCAATTACTGTAACTAAAATACCTACAGTTGAGGTATTATGTTGCAGAAACTTACTGATCTCACTGATTCAACTTGAAAAAATTAATTAATGACCACATTCCAATATAATGGTATTATTGGTTGCTTTGCCACCAAATTGTTAAAAGGGGAGTTAGTTCAAAACAATATCCCTATTAAACAATAAGATTTTGCAGTCCCCTTGCCATATCGTAAGATCGGGGTTCCACTGTAATTCACTTTTTTTAACCTGTGAAATTCAACTTAACAACCTCAACAGATACAACACTTAACTGATCTCTCACCAAACACAGAATACAAAATTCTCAGTAGACCTAGACCACCCTAAATTTCCCGCATTACAGTAACAAAGAGCAATATAAACAAAGAGCATATATTATTGTGGCAAAGTACAATAATTTTATTTCACTTCCAACAGTGGGATCACTGTTAATCCATCTTACTTCATGATTCAAACAAACCTTGTTTCTTCTGTCCATAGCCATGTCTCTGGAAACTCTTTACGTACACGAGGTGCCTTCTTTGTGGAAGATCCTTTCTTTACATTAAATCCTGTCCGTTCGATAAGATCTGGTGCCAATTCCTCTCTATCGACTTGAAGGGGTGCAAGTTCTGGGCCCAAATATCGAGCTGTATCTACAGAGTTAAAGTGCAGCTTTGAGTGCTGCCTTCATTCTTCATAACACCTTCAGCTGTTAACTTAACTTAATAACTTAAGAGTAATAAATGGATGGACTAACAAGCCCATATAAATAGGGCTGGATTATTATTAGCAGCCTGACTGACAGACCATCTAACCAAGCAAGTTACACAATGGTATGAAATTCAATACAAAAGATGCATTTTGTTTTTGTTACTTCTCCTAGTAGCTATAATTATGCAATTGCACGTGGAACTTTGGCAAACAACTGTATGATGCCACATAATAATAGTTTACAATAATCGTGGGTGGTGGAAATACACCTGAGCATAATAAGGGAACAAAAATTCTACAATGCTGCTTGTAAGAATTTGCTTTTCTGTGCTTGTCACAAACCAAAACTCTTTGCATATACTTTGTTTCAGAAAGTTTACTCTGGACTCAGAGGTTAAAGGTTTAAACATTGTGCATGTTCTTTTGCACTGCCCTCCAGTGCCATTCTCTAGCCAAGAGATAAAACATGATGCATACCATGGAATTGCCATAGATGTTGCCATCTGACCACATAGCAAGGACAGCCCTGGCTGGACTAACATCCTATCCAGCAACAATTCTACTTGTTTTATGCCAGCAGTTTGGTTGCTTAAATTGGCCTGTGTGGTTGATCTTCACTCTGGACAATTAATGTTTCAGTGCTATTCATGTATACAGAGTGGGGACATTTCCATTGCCTCATAAAAGTTGCCATTGGGTGATCCAGTATTTCTAATGATTGTTTGATTGGTTTGGACATTTCAGAAACTAGAACCGAAAAGCTAAGAAATGAAGAGATAGGCAAGGAGGAGAAAGAACTGTCTCACAGATGAACTAATTAACAGAATTAATGAGTCAGTAGAAGTTAGTCAGGAAATAAATTATCATAAGCAGACCAATAGTATCACAGCAATAAATACTTGTGCACTATTTAAATAATGTATCAATACAAGCTTTAATTTCTTAAAACAAACAAAATTGCTATTAAGGTTACTGTAGACTTTTGAAGGCCAAATTTTGTGAAACTGATTGTTTACTTCGCTCAATTAATTTAATCAAAATTGCAAATGACCAAAAGATAAAGCAACAAAGCTGTTTTAGAGAACAGTTAAATAGGTAAAGGTGCTATGATTCTAATTAAACATGGGTGCCGTGAAGATTTTTCACGATAAACTTCCTGAGTGAATTTAGGCTCATAATTACTATTTCTCATTTTGTTTTGCATCACCTCTCGATCATAAAAGGTAGGTAAAGTCTGCATACAGTGTATGAGCCAAGTGGCCCATCAGGCCAGAGCTTATCTTAATATGTAAGATAAGTGATAAAAATATTTACGAAGTTAAAAAGGGGATCTAAAACACTGTTTGTTCAGTGTTGGTTCTAGTTCTTTGATTAAAGAAAAAAAAAAACACTTCGAACATAAGACAGTCAAATTTGTTCTGGCACTTCCTTAAAATTTTAAAACTTTGCTCAATGTCATCCAGCTTCTTATCATTTCTTATTTTTTTCATCAAGAACTAAAACCAACACTGAATTAGTATTGTTTTATTGTCTAATTGTTTTAGGTCTCCTTTTTAACTTCCTAAACATTTTTATCATTCATCTTATGTATTTCATTGCATCCTACCGTTCGCTGACATTTTAAAGCATTTTTACTGTTAGAAACATATTTATGCTAATTTTATGTATTTTTACCTGCACTTGAAAATGACCTTGGAGAGGTTGAAACGTCATAATTTTTTATTGTAAATTTTTATTGCAAAACCAATAAGAATATTGCAAAAGCCCTGCCTACTTTTGTATTCTATTACCTGCTGAATAACCGTCATTGTGAAGTTTAGTTGTACTTGCAAATACACGGTTAGTTTTATGTTTGAAGCTTTACAGCTGCTAACCATTAGTTGATGCACATACAAATGATTTTCTAGAGTCTACAGTAACCTTATAGAAGCAAGTACGTATAATTTTCTTTTAAAATGTTTTGTATTTCCTTCTCTAAGCTTGCTTGAGATGGCCATAATGCATTCAGATGGAAAGACAATATTTCTCTTGCAAAAATGAAGGAAACAAAACTCACAGTATGGTCGTCGAGGCTTAGGAATCTCACATTTGGCAGTTTTTATCTTCAGATCCGAAAAATAAATGACACCAGTATCCTGAAAAAAAGTTGATATGTAATAGAAATAATTTAAAATACAGCAATAACACAGAAAAATGTCCAATAATTTTATAATTGAAAATGTTTTAAACCATCTGAAATAAGAATAACAACCACTGAGCACAAAACAGAAATACATGTAGTTACTGGCAGAAAGTTTAAATGAGGAATTCAAAAACTCAAAGTAAAGCCTTTTAAACCCAGCCAGTTCATAGGGGGTGTTCTCCAAAATATTTGGTGGGGGGGGGTGCCACTGGGCCATAAAAACCCTTACTTTGAACAAGACCAAGTAATTCTAATTTTGCAACCCTATTCCAGACTCACTGTTGAAAAAGACTAAATACAGTGGAACCTCTATTACACGGCCACCTACATGTACAGGGGTTTTATTAGAAGCTGGGATCTGGGTACTGGCACCCATGACTTAAGAAGAGCTAAACTGTGACCTTGTATGGAACTCATAGCATTAAGAAGATAAACAAAACATACGCTGATCATTTGATTCACACCAACCTCAAAGGCTTTGGAAGCATCCAAGTCTTTTGTGGACCCATAATATGGCATGAATGATCGCTTGCGTCTCAACCATGGACCCCACCAATGAGGTACATGGCATGAATCTGACCAAGATTTTACAGAAGGTCCGACATCCTGAGAGCTGAGCACATTGATTGCCTAAAGGAAGATTAAAACTAATTACAAAGCTTTTTGTCTTTTTAAAGAGCAAAGACAGAATAATTTTATTTCAGCTGTCCAACTTTGTTGGGTAAATCATGGGCACCACTGACATGGAAGCAGTTAAAGATACCTGGTAAAATACAAAATGTGTTCAAACTTTCAATGTGCAGCTCCAGAAATTATCCATACTCCCCCCAAAGAAGGGATTGGAATTTCCTGTGGGGTGGGGCTCCTCGCCAAAAAAATTAATAGAAATGCATGAAGCTTAATTGGAATTTCCAGAGGGGTGGGGGAGGGGTCTTAGAAAAATTCCCTTCTGTGGGAGAGGAATGGATACTTTCTGGAACAATACAATCACACTTTATTTCAATTTCCAGAGAAATTAATTCAATTGTAGACAGCTGATCTGTGCATAGCATTTCACTAGTCTAGTGGGATCAGTGATTTATCAGGATAATCACAAAAAAATACTATTAACAATAAAAAATAATGATAACAAACAACAGAAAGACTTAGAAAATATACCACTATGCTAGATAACTCTAGCTAAATACATGCATGAAAAGAAATATAACATTTAGGCATCAACATTTTTTATCAAGTGAGTATAGATATTACTAACAATATCATGTCTGCCAAGATTTAATTTGTGTTTGATAACTGTTCCTTTTATCAGCAAAATAAACTTTTCACAAAATTAGATTAAGGTTCTTTCATAATTATTAACTAGTTAGCTGTGGTAAATGTTATGGACAGAATGGACTTCTGCACATTTAATTTTTTTTTTTTAATCAATTATCACTTTAAAAATCCTTAATATGAAACACCTTACATGATTTACACATAGTGACCTTGAGATTTGAATTTATGGTACCTTTTGTCAACAGTAAAAACTTACATCATCTTGAGTCAGTTCATTTCCTTCTTTCAAGAGATGGACACTTTTGTCAACAGCAGTAACAGCCACTCGAGACCCTGGTGCTGCTGTTATGATAAGTTTTGTTGGTTCACCAGGCTTTCTGATGCTCTCAGCAAAACGTACATCAACCTGTTGGAAAACCAAGAGTCTGTGACTTCTAAGATTTTCCAATGTTCATAGTAGCCCGTTTTGCTGATAACAGGGACACATCCACAGAGCTCATTATTTTTTTGTTCCCAACATGTACCTAGAAATTACACAGCAAATCTCGGCAAACATTCCTCTTGGGGAGTATTCCCCAAAGCCCCCGGTTTTGATTTATTGTTTAGAAGCCACATCAGTTGGAACACTTCAGATAAATGTAAAAATATCAAGTAAATTTCTCCCATGTTCTCACATTACCAGATTTAATGCAGTTAAATGCAATTTAATGGAGTTAACAACAAAGAGCACCTGCTTTCCCATAGTACAGTGGTGTTTTTGATATGTGCAGGCACCAGGATTCCATGTGCTCTTGGACTGAGACGTGTTGGCAGCCTTCACAGTGATAGCATTCACCCTCCCTCTCTCCACTGTTAATTCAGTGTGATGGGTGTCTGTCTCCCCTTCCGCATGGGAGCTCATGGCTCAGTTTCCAGGATTTGCCAGCCATGGGAGTGGTCTCCATCTAGGAGCTGGCTGCCAATAGTGGAAGCTCTTGGATGTCTCCAGCACCCAACCTCCATTTAGGGATTCAGTTGTTAATGGCTTCTCTAATTAAACATACTAATTTTATTAATACCAGTACCTTATTTTCCAATATATCCTCCACATCTATCACCATATTATCAGCAACAGTCTCCTGGTCATCCCGCACATGGAACAGCAGGAGACGGCATGAAGGTACCATCTTCTGAGTGACAGCAAACTGAATGAATCCCTGGGCTGTGAACATTTCTTCATTCTTGGAATTCTTGAATGTTTTCATGGATGGCTGAAAATCAACTGCAAGAAGTTTCCTTCCCTGAGCCACAAGCATTCCACGGCTAAATACCTTGAAATCAGAAGGCAATCTAGGTTTAAATGCAAGTGACAAAACTTAAAACTCATATAATTCATCAAGTTTAGACAAAGGAAATTATGACCGTGAGGGTGTTTGGATATCTTAATTAGCATATATATTTTACGATATTATTTCTTCATTTTCCGCTCAGTTTTAGTTTCAATTGGGAAGATATATCAAACACTCAAGACAGCGTTTGAACACATTTCCATCACCTCAAATTTAACCAATAATACTCTACTATGCATCCTATTTTCAACTCTCTTCTCGGTGGTTGGAAATATGGCCAAACAGAGTTGTTTGTGTTTGATAATTACTCAAGATTACTAGAGTGACACTGTTGGATATCAGAATATTTAAATTCTGGACTTCAATTTAAATTCAAATTAAAAATTACAATTGCAAGCAAGACTCACTTGGTAGTGAAAATTGATGTTCTTTGTTGCTGTGCTGGTTGTGAAATCAAACTTTACTTTAGCACTTGATCCAACCTGTAAATAAATAAAGCACTACATTGTAAAAGTCACAGCCTTCAGAGAGTAAATTTACATGTGAATATTATTTGTATAACATGATTTTTGCATGTTGCTTGCATAAATTGCCTGAAAGAAACCCATTAAGAACTACAGTACTTTACCTCAGTGCTTCAAATTTGTAGACAGTGTACAGTGTAACAATATTATTGTTACTAATAAAAACAGTAACAATCAGCATGTAAGAACCTACAAATTTTGAAGTCTGGCAAAATATAATTTTTATTTTGGTGTACTTATTGGCAATTTGGGCTAAGTAGGTTTTTATAAGGTTCTTATTAATTTCTTTGAAGGAGTTATAGTTGTTAATTACCAGAAAAACATATAAACTTGGGTTTTGGTACTCAAATATATATACATTATTATTTTATTTACAAATGTATTATTTATTTTTTTGTAAACTATATAAATTTCAGAGTCACACTCCTTGGTTAAAATGTTTCTCATAATTTATCTGTAACCCACATATAAGAAACTGCTTGATCTTGTTTGGCTAAACAGGCTCTTATATTTTTGGGTAATAAAATGGCAAATTTCTGCCAGCCCTGTGATGCAATAATTCCAACCTCCAGTGGAGTGATGATTCTTTCCATGGAAATGTAACTGCTGCTTGGAGAGTTCCAGCGTTTAGCGGTATGGTATGCCAAAGATTTACCCTTGTATTTAGCCTAGAAAAAATTAAATGTTACTGAGAGTAAAGTCAAGTAAGGAATGAGTAATTACACTTATAAATTAAAGGTCTCCTGCACTCATTTATCAGGTGAAAGGTTTTTTTTTTTTTAAATCAGGATTGCATGAGGATACAGATCAAGGGGGAAATGATTGAAATAAGGTTTCCACCACATGCAACCAAGGCTAACTGCATGTCTGCTATAAACATACATCTGGATTATATCTTAACTAAATTTTAAAATTACACTATAACGTAATTTCTTTACATTTTTTACATATTAATTAACAATATTCCCCGAAAGAAGCCTCTGATCATTGTAACAGAATCACTTTAACCATGAGAATAATTATAACGGATTATTATATGGCTGTCTCACAAGGACTGGGAACTACCAAATTCATGAATTTGATTGGCTGAAATCAATATTGAAAGTGGTCTAGATTTTCCCATCTAGACCGGCACCTAGACCGGTTACATTTTGCGATGGATAAGTTGCAAACTAAAATGTAAAATATTGACTATTTTCTTCTAACAATATTTATTTATGGAAGTCCCAAAAAGCCTGATGAGAAAAAAAGTAAATAGGACGAGCAAACTTTGGCAAAATAATTATTAAGTTCAGCTCATCGCCGTTCACAAGCAAGATGTCAGCTAGTACAAACAAGTTACATTAAACAAATCAAATTGTTCTTGTTTGCCATCTAATAAACAAGTCATCTAATTAACCGAGCTTAGTCGGTCTGTATGGGAGAATCTTGACCTCGGTCGTGTGTACAGACCTAACTCATGACCTCAGTCAAGATTCTCTCATACAGACCTCCTACTTGGTTAATAAGTGCTAATTACATGGTATATCCAATGCAATACATAGACCAAAAGAACTCACTTCAAGTGAGAGCGATTTGGCTGTCTGTATAATGTTTGAACCAGGGACTACAAAATCCACAAGTCCATTTGCTGGGACTGTGATCCTCTCTTGAAAGACTGTCACTGCATTGTTATGATACCATGACCAGTCGGACTTCCGTGCCTTTATAATAACATGCACTGACTCTCCTTTCATTGGGCTTCCATCAGGCAGAGTAGCTTTCAACTACATAAACAAGAGAAAAAAACAGAATAGTGCAGATGATCCTTATTATTCAGTAAACTGTTGTTACATACCTGGAATAGCAATCTGGCCCAAGCCCTGCAGACCTACTCCATGAACACTCACTGCAGCACAAGAGAAACAACTTAAACCTGAACTTATAATGGCCACACAAAGAGTTACTAAAAAAAACTCCTTAAAAAAACTTGTTTAAAACATCTTCTAAGTGCCATTTGACACCACAACCATTTACTAAACTGTAGCTTCATATACTGTGAGCTACTGCTTATTAGCCCTCCACCAAATATAAGCCCCCCCCCTCTCTTAGCTTTCTTTGTTTTGAATTTGTTTTGTTATGATGTTTTAAAGCTTAATTAAAAACAAGTAAATGAAAAACCTGTTTCGATCAACACAGCTATAGCTAGTCTTTTATTCCAGTTATAAGCACCCTCGAATATAAGCCCTCCACTTATAAGCCCATCTAAAAGCCCTTACGAAGTTTTATAAGTATTTAAGTGGCAATTTACGAGAATCTCCCGATAGAGTGCACTTACAGCCAAGGGAGGTATGGCATCTGTAATGTAGACATTTTATTTTTATCCCTAAGTGTTTTAGTGATTATACCTGTCCAACATATGCCATGCCTGGTTTAAAGGTTCTGGGTGTAGTGTGAAGAAACTCCAGTTTTGTGCTTGAACTGTCGACCTCTACCTCAGTCCCTGAAGCATTTTGGGAAACCCCAGTGGCTGATTCCTTCACAGTGGCATTAATAGCAATTTTTGCATAACTATAAAAGTAGTGTCGCTGTAAATTTATAGTAGCTGTGACATCTCTACAACCATTAATCTAAGACAAAAAAAAAAATATTAATAATATTATTAGGGGTCATTAGCAATTCTTCTTTAGTGTGCAGTTTAAAATTTTCATAACATTTCCTAAGCTTTTGAAAGATGGAATTATACCATAGTTACTGCCCCCCAGGGGGGACTCCCATATCAAAAGAATGGGGGTGCCCATCGTACCTTTTAGAGGCTAAAAAAGCCGTTTTGGTACCTCTTAGGGTGTTCAGCTGCAAAAAGATCTGCAGTGGGTGGTTCCACAGTACCTTTTAGGGTATTGAGC